GTCGGGAGGTTGGACCGGCGTTGCACTCGGTTATGCCTCGAACTTCTACACAATCCTTCTGCTCTTTGGGGGACAACGAGAAAGTAATATTATTCCTTGTGGTTGTTTGCTGTAGTGGATAAGGGCGTGTGCTTGCATCCGGATGGCGCCGGTTCTACCCGCGCACTTTACGTTTTTAAGGTATGCCATATCCGAGAGCTCATCAGCCTCGTCCACGGCATACGCCTCTACCACTCGGTGTCCGCCGACTGGCCAGGTGCTGGTCTTAACACGAAGGAGGTTCGTCTACATGCTGAGTGGTTTTCTGTCAGTTGTTGGGTAGTAGGTATTAGGCGATCCGGATAAGCGTAGGAGAGCGGATGATCTCGATGATGCACTTCAGGAGATTAACAGTAGGTGAAGATTGGAGGAGTTCTCGAGGCCTGTCTTATGAGCAGGTAGATGCTCGCGACTCAAGGAGTATATAGACTACCTCGTAGTGGTGTCACTGAAGGAGGAGGCAGGGGAGGGTTTGGCAAAGGGAACTGATGATATTTGCTATCTACGTCAGTGTGTGTTGTATCTCCGATCTGCTGGTGATGATATTGAGAGGTGATGGCCACTACTGAGGTGATGGACATAGTTGTGCTTTAGGGCTATCGAACGGTTGTATAAATCGCGCTCTCACTTTGCCGAGTGTGCTAGGATGATAGGTGCCGGGATGGGCAACAGGACGGTCATCCTCAAGGCGGAGGTGGGGAGGGGGGAGCTCGTTGACTGTAGTTGTGGAGGGGGGGGTTTATCATGTCTCAGGTTTACCCTTGTTTTGATTCTCTTGCGAAGTACTACTATAGTTGCCGTGATGAGCTGCGGTTCATCAATGATCGGATACGTCTGGCACATATGGTGTTCGAGCAGTTGGATGCATATAGGTAGTGTAGGGATCCCGGTAGATCCGCGTGGAGTTGGTGGAAGAACTAGATGTGTGCTATTATGGCATATATTAGTAGTAGGAAAGGTGGAATTGCGAAATAGTATTTTTATCAAGCCTAGTAGTATTGCTTGTGAGCTCGAGGAGTAGGCCTGAAGAGAAAACCATCCTGAGGGGATCGAACTGGGGATCTGTTGATTACTCTATAGAGGACAGGTGCTCTACCAGCCGCGCTACCGATACTTGGTGATTTGTGCTTGTATCTGCGGCCTAGTGGTGTTTCCCTCAGCCCTGAGACGCCGTCCTCTTTCGAGCAGCACTCGGTGCTCGAGTCGTGGCAGGATGTATGTCCATGGTGGTCTAAGGTGAGGCTACATTTGGGCCTAATGTGTATCTTCCCGTCAGGAAGATGAAGATACGCCTGTTGAGGCCAAGGATGAGAGCACCACTGAGGGTGACGAGGAAAGGTCGATCTTGATGCCACTATGGTTGTATACAGGTAATATGATTCTTCTTGAGCCTGGAAGCTTTGGGAAGTACCAAGAAGTTGGGCTGAAATACCAGGTAGTCGGTAATAGCCCAATGGGGCGGGTAGGACTCCTTTCAGGGGTACTGTCCGATCGCTATCGCTGACGGTAGAGGTCTGCTTGTACCGGGTGACCCTCAGCATGGCCTCGTCCTCCGACTCGATGGAGGGGCCGCGTCCTTGGTGGCGTTTTCGTCTCCTGGGGCCGTGAGGAGGTAGTAGTAGCCCTTCGGGGAAAGGGTAGTGGGAGGTGGCGTGTTGGCAGGTTTATGGCTGACCACAGTAAATATGAGGAATGGGTGAAGGCGTATTGTCGTTTGATGCCTCCACTTATCCCCTTGTTGCAGTAGGGCATTTGGTGGCGATTTTCGTTAGAGGTTCATTTTCAGAATGCAGGCGGAATTCCCGCATATTCCGGGTGCACTGTTCGACGGAGAAGGTAGGAAACTAGCTGATGGATCTATCGCTTTCTTGCCAGGGTGTGTGTGTGTGTGGTTCTTGGGGTTAGGGTGCGCACAAGAGCCTAAAGTGTTGCGAATGATATGCTTTTAGATAAGTCCGATCGTCAGGAGGGCGGCCTTGGGCGGGTTCGACTGGACGTGGCCTGCGAGACGGAGTTGCATCCGCAGCAGCATGTGGATAAGGAATATGAGTGGGCTGGAGGAGAGTCGTCTCAGCGGTATGGTATTGTGGCAGATGGAACGAATGGAGGCTGCGGGAGAAATTGTTGAGGGCAGTGACGCTACGACAGAAAAAGACGAGAAGTGTCCAGACTGATTACTCCTCCTTCAGAAGAGACAGTGACGTGCAGGTGAGTAACACCACATACAAGTTGTTGTCAGAATCGATTCACACTGGTGGGGGAATTATTGACAAACTTGACCTGGTTGAATTCTACATCGTTTGAGCTCGATGACTGTGCTTGACATGCTCAGGTCTATCTCCCCAAGACTGCAACGACGAATACCTCCCATGACAAGTGGACAAATCCGGTGGTTCATAAACGATACTTGGTCGGTATGAGAGGAGCCAAAAAGGATGCATTGAAAAGTGTGGATATCAAGTTTGACATGTGATGAATCGAATGGCCTTATTACCGTTGTTGTCCGACTGGGATATTTGTTTGTTTGAGTGAGTCACCAGTTGGTGGTGGGGTGAGTTGCTT